CCCAATTGCCCAAATATGAAACTTGCGCGAATAGATGAGTACCCTTAATAACAAATATTTTAACCGAAAACACTTCAATATTTGCTTTTATATTAAAATATCAATAATGTTGCCGCCACGAAATTTCCATGCAAATGAACACGTAGCTGTCAAACTACCAAATTGCCGGCAATTGAAGAGCAATGAGCGGTCTCCAGTGGCTATTTATATTCTAACATATGTATGTATCAAGATATAAACTTTATCCTGTGGAGACGGGCAGTTAGGTATCGATACTACTAAGCCAACGCCGTTGCTCAGGCATACAAAGCAGCGGTATTGATTGAGTATGAAACAGTTGACGATCAACCAATGCCAATCCCGGCTATAGATATATACATGAGTGTGGAAAAGAGGGCGAGGCACATCCCATAGGCGCGGAGAATTTATCATCTATAACTTCGGAACCATGAGTCACATGCACTTTGGTATACATACACATATATCTTTGGTAGGTGCTTATAGTAGGCTATATATAAGTGAGTTTATAAAAGGGGCGTGGCACTTCCCATAGGCGTGGAAATTTTTGTCAGCTAAAACTTCGGAACCACATGTCACAACTTGAAATTTGTTATGCACACATATCTATGGTAGGTGCTTATAGTAAGGTATATATAAATAGGTTTGTAAAAGAGGGCGTGGGCTTTTTTATCAGGTATAACTTCGGAACCGTAAGTCCCACGAACTTGAAAGTTGTTACGCAGACATATATTCCTTATAGTAAGGTATGTATAAATAAATGAGTTTTTAAAAGGGGGTGTGGCACATCGCTTAGGCGGTGAATTTTTTGTCAGCTAAAACTTCGATACCATAAGTCACATGTACTTGAAATTTGGTATACGGACATATCTAATGTAGGTGCTTATAATAGGGTATATATAAATGAGTTTCTAAAAGGGGGAGTAGCACATCCCGTTGGTTGGAAATGTTTCTCAGCTATAACTTCAGAGCCATAAGTCACATGAACTTGAAATTTGGTGTGAAGATCTATGATAAATGTTATAGTAAGGCATATATAATTTTTTATTTTTTTGTTTTGAAGGGGACGTGGCACATTCCCCAGGTGCGAAATTTTTTATCAGCTACAACTTCGGAATCATAAGTCACAAGAATATGATATGAATACATATCCATAGTAAGGATTGTATACATGAATTTGTAAAAGGGAACGTGGAGTATGGGCGAGGAATTTTTAAACAGCCATAAATCGCGAACCATAAGTCAAATGAACTTGAAATTTGGTATGCAGACATATATGTATATGGGAGGTGTTTAGTGTAAAGTATGTATAAATGAGTTTGTAAAAGGGGATAAATATGTATTCATCTATTAGATCACTCAGATATTTAAAACTGTGTTTTTTTAACCTTACAGTCCTTAGACCATTTCGAAATGGAAAGATTAAATGGTTTTTTTTGATCCCGCGATGCTGTTAAACGGAAAGTGTTCATTCATAATGAATAAAACACCTTTCGAAAAAAGCATTCTACCGGAAAAGTGCAGCTATACTAATGCAGCTAAGCGAATAGGCAGCTAAACGGAATTGACCGTAGTAGACTAATTTTAATTTGAAAACTCTATCGTTACTTTAATCCACCTAATATTAATAATGAAACAGGATTTGTAGTACAGATTACAAATACATAGTTGTTGAAGCACGATAAAGCTAAAAGTATGGTTCATAATGATGCCTTAATTTAAACAGAAAGAAAATAGTTTGACTCCTTTAATTTATGCTGAACTGAATATTTGTACTACTGTTTTATATTTTGATTTGTTTAACCCGAACGACGTCGCATGCTCTGCTAGTTACATATATGGCCGAATGTCAAGAAAATTAAGAAAATAAAGCGAGAAAGCTGTTTTATTACTTCACCTGTTTCTAATTTCAGCATGCAATTTTTCGAATAACTCGAAAACTGGTTTTGGGAAAAAGGCGAATAATCAAAAATCCTAATATTTACCAAGTTTAAGCACTTATCTAATCGCTTAAAAAAACTTTTTTCTAGCATATTATTTTCGGTTCTTTTGATGACTCATTAAATGTACATACATATATATACGGTTTGATGAAATTTTACTACAAAATCCTATTAATCTGCTTAATTTGTTTTACTAATATTATTTTTTTATTTTATAGATCCACCGTCTCCCCCAATAATTTCGGGATATATGGAAGGACAAATTATACCAGCTGGTTCAGTTCAAAAACTCTTATGTGTGTCATCGGGCGGAAATCCACTTGCCACTCTTACGTGGTATAAAAACGATAAACGGGTAAGTAAATTTATTTGCAAGTAGTTTTGCATATGAGCCATTCTTTTGTAAGTCGGACGGATTTCGTAAAAAAAATTATATCATGTCTATGATTCGCTTAAATTTTTTTTGTGGGTTGTATACATAAAATAAGCTGACACGTGTTCGAGGAATTTTTTCTTCTTTTTTTTCTTCCGAGATATGATCTGTCAAAGTTAGCATTTTTCGTGATTCTGACTAATCATGTACTTCTTAAAACCGTTATAACTCAGGTTCTGCTGATCGTAGAGACTTCATCTTACCGTCATTTTAAAGCTAAGAAACGGGCTTAACGTTTCTATATATAAGGTGGTCAAAATTGTCCTGAAGCTAACTGAGCTATTAACAGTTGAACTTTTTGATGTTGATTTGCATAGTGAAGACTAGAGCTGTAAAAGTAACGAAAATTCGGATACCCATATGTATTCGTTACTAATCCAATCAACACCCGTGTCTTTCGTATCGTTACTTTACTCGTTACTTTTGATACAAGCACTTGAACCTCACAAGAATCATCGCAACAAATCTTGCAGCGCAAGGAAATGTTCGTTCGTCCATATGCGTACATGTACATACATATATACATATGTATACACGCAACATATTTTTGGACCGATTCGAACAATTTGATACAATCAAGCACTTGTACCTCACAGGAATCATGCATGCATGTACATACGTACATATACAAGCAACACACTTTATTATCGATACGAAAAACAGTTTCGTTACCGCACAATATGTTGTGTTGTATTGATTCACGATGATGGTGCATATACGGAACATGCGAGTAACGAGATTATTATGTGAGTAACGATTCGGTACTTCGAGTCAGGGGTTGTTGTATTCGTTACTCAGTAACGAATACATACGGTTTGCTCCAGCTCTAGTCTTCTTCTTCTTTTTTGGCGCTGTAACCGCCTAAGCGATTTTGGCCGAGTTCAGCAAAGCACGCCAGTCGTTTCTCCTCTGTGCCAACTGACGCCAATTGGAAACGCCAAGTGAAGCCAAGTCCTTACGTAAATGTATATCGATCCAGCCTTTCCAATAATTACCACTTTTCGCCATAACTACGGTATTGATAACATATGTAGCTGTGTAGAATTTCAGGACGTTAGCGTAAGCAGTTCCAGAGATAAGCTATATGAGAAGTTCAGTTTGTATGGAAGGAAGGAGCCACGCCCCTTTCCCAATGCATTTGCAATATATGCATCAGTGCTAAGTTTCAGTTCCCCAGCGTAATTGGTTTTGTATAAGAATTTTAGGAATATCCCGAGCTACATACCGAGTAAATTTTTGGTCAGAATATTTATTTTCAAGGTGTTGCCAAATATGAACCAAGTCGGTGCAGCCGTTTAGTAGTTTAGTGAAATACATTGTAAAGAGAACTGTATGAAATTGTAAAACGTGACGTCTCAGATTTCTTAATTTTTTGGCAGCAACAACGAAAAGTTTTAATTTTTTTTAGCGAAAAACCTTCCACACAGAGATATAAAAAAAATAAGTTTGTTGTTATATCAAGGCGAAATTTTGAGAACGGTCCGTTGCTAACTCTAAATATAACAACGACGCACTGGAAAAAGTTAATACGTTCAAATACCTAGGAATGATGATCGACGATAAACTAAAACAAAAAAAATGGATTCTATATTTTCAATTAGAGCTCTAGCAATATGTACATCGGTAAAAACTGCATTTAATTCCATACATTAGCTTTTGCGTGATGCGCTTACAAACATACAGACAAACATACAGACAAACATACCGAAAATTTAGATTTGGCTTCTGTTGATTTAATAAGCCCCCTATTAATTTTTCTTTAATATCTATAAGGTACAGACATCGACCTGTTATAATTTTATTATATGTATATCTTGATTTAGATATAGATTTCATTTATTTTATCAATTTAGTTCAATAAAATTTTTCAAATAGGTGGCAGCCCTCCCTAAAAATATTTTCGGCAATAAAATTTCCTAAACCCCTTCAGTTTGATACCCATATTGCAATATTCAATTTATCTTATAAATTAAATTAAATGTAAATTTTCAAACAGGCGGCAACTCTAAAATAGTATTTTTGGCTGTAAGCCTTCTTCAGTCTCTTTCTTTTGACGCCCCTATTTTCCAATATTCATTTTTTCTCATCAATTTACTTAAACTCCAATTTTCAAACAGTTGGCAACTCTCTAATTTTTTTCTTCCTATATTTTAAGTTAGACCTCTAGCAATACATCGGTGAAAACTGCATTCAAATCCATGAATTCATTTTCGAGTGATGCGCGAACAAACACAGACAGACAGACAAAAATTCTAAAAATGGTTGATTTGGCTTCTGGTGCTCTAATAAAGACCCCCCACATTAATTTTTCTTTAATATCTATAATGTACAGACCCCAACTTCATTGGAAGTGATTAGTTGAAAGGCCGTTCACATCAGGCGATTGTTTCTTTCGCACGATGGTCTTTCAAGACGGTTTAATAAGACTAGTGTTAAAGAGCCAATATTAATATGGATAATCCTACAACCGATAATCCCAAATATTTAAAAAAAATTATTTTGTCATTAATCTGAAATAAAAAAATTATAAATCGGAAGAATAGAGAAATTATCAATCGGAAGAATACATGGTATAATACTAACATAAAAAATTAATGAGACCTTGCATTAATGCGTTTACGACGACAGCTAAACTTTTGTTTGGGGATTTTGTTAGTAAATTTCGATGTATATATTTTTATTTACCTGTTTGCATTTGACATTTTGTTTGTTGTCAACAAATATTTTGACGCTTAATTAAAAATTTTCCAATTTGCTTCCATACTCACTCACAATAGTGCCATAATTGAATTTGGAAGCACCTTAAACAGTGGGATATCGTTACGTCGTACGACCTGCGTTGTTACATTACATGTAGTTTAAATGAGTCTTCTTCTCGAATTCGTATCGAAAGGATTGGAGCTTATAAAGCCCCAACTTTACGAACTAGAATATTATTTGTGCTTAAGTTTAGAATAATGCATAACATCGTAAAAATCAAAAACAATTTTTTTAGTTTTATGTATAACTGAAATTCATTTTTCATATTTACTATTTCTTCTATTCAATAAACACAAAATAATGCATTTCGTTACAGGTAAATGCAGTGATACGTACCGCCGATAAGTCGGTTTCTGCCGAAATAACTATTCTGGCGAACGTAACCGATAACCAAGCTCAATATCGCTGCGAAGCTTCTAATAGCGCAACCGAAATTCCACTCTTTGAGAGCGCTATTCTCAGTGTCCATTGTAAGTATTTTATTATTGCTTATAATATGCAGATATTCGTGGTAAATTTAACGCTCGTATCTATACCTTTTTGGGCAGTATAATACCTTTTTTATTCCAAAAATTAAAACTTCTTTTTTAAAAAATACTGCATTTATACTTTTTCTATTTAAATTTTTTCATACACAGAAGTAGGTAGTATAAATTTATCAGTCGTATAAGGGCAAATCTAAAAAGTGTACCTACTTTCCAAAACTAATTTTTAATTTAAGTGCTTCAAAAGTTAGACGAGGAATAAACATGAAATAGAAAACAAAAGAATAAGCTGGGTTCAAATTACGCTGTTCGAGTTATAAATTTTTAGCAAAGATTTTGAAAGTTGAGCTCACTTAATTGCGACGTTCTAAATTTAATGGCGTACCCCGTTTTACCAGATTGGCTCCGGTTTTCGAGAGAACGGTAGTTGAAAATTTGATTAAAATTGAACTATCTTATAAATAGCTCCCTCAGTTTTTAAGTTATTTTACTAAAATTGAGCAGATAACGGATTTTTAATATTATCTTGATTATTCCTTAAAATTATGGAAATGGGTTCACTTTAACATATACATAGCTCCAATAGAACTGATTACACAGATATGTGTTTTTGCGCTATAACTTTAACTTCGTGACTGAATAATAAATTGTATGCGTGCTATATTTGAATTTGAACCTATACTAAATTTTTACCTGCTTAATTGGAGGAGTTATATCACAAAGCAATGTGTCTGAACAATCTGTTGTATGGGAGCTAGATGTAAGAGTTAACCTATTTCGACGATGTGAAGAGATAGTGAAGGAAATATTAAAAAACCACCGTGTGCAAAATTTTAGTTAAATATTTTCAAAACTGATGAAGTTTTTTTTAGAAAATAGTTCAAAGAGTCAATCGAGCCAAACTGGGGACCAAGGCCGTATTTAGGGGGATGTAGGTGTTCTGACAAATTTGAGTAGTCCACTTGCAAAGGCGCTATGTAAATTTTTTTAGATTTTTAGTTTTTGGTGAGTAACGTACCTGTCCCTGTAGGGAAACGAACTAGTGCGGAACTGGTTCGGTTCTAGTGCGTTTGGAACCATGACTAGTACGCGTTAATTCTCTTTTGCATGCTTGCGACTGGCGAATTTAACATTGCGATGTCCTAGGAAGTGTCAATTGTACCCCGTTGCATCCCTTTGGCTCTAGTTCCGAACCAGTTCTAAATTCGACAGATAAGATCTAGTTCGTTTTGCATCCCTTTTTCTATAGTTCCGAAGCTGTCATGCTTTCGGAAACCGTCCAAAGCAGTATCGTGCTTTTGGCAGTCGATCAAATACGGCGGTTGCTGGTTTCGTGGACGATCATTCGGAGTACAGATTTGCCGAAGTCAATATCAGTATGAGCTGTTATAAGCATCGTTCACTTGTGGTGGCTGTATTTGCAAGACAGCACGCTTTGCGGTGGTGTTCGTTCATCCTCCGTTTTTAACGTGAGTAGGCTTAAAGTCACAAAAACAGCACCCTTTGCCAATCCCTGGTGTCAAGTTAGCACTACATACCATTTTTTATTAAAAAACGAGAGCTACAAATTTTTTCTTTCCACAACAACTTTACAACAAAAACACTACAATTAATGCCGTAGTTAACTTTTCCAATTTCGAAAAGTGTAGTGCTAACTTGACACACGTACACTAAACACTAACAACAGGTAGAAGGGGAGGATAAAATAAACTAAATAGTAAATTTTTTCAACATAAAATTTTTCGACAGGAAGCGTGGTTTTATTGTTTTAAATTGCAAAATATATGATTTATAAAAAGAATTAATAGCGAAAATGTTAAAAAACGGTGATCTTTGTGAAAGTATTAGCAAATTTCATTGCATATAAAGTTTCTAAAGCGTTGTTTACTTTTACTTGAGAAGTATCAAAATCGGCAAATCCCAGTAGCGCTTTCTGGAACGTACCATATTTTTTCGCTACATCGTGATATGATAACAAGAAAAGCTGGTAGCACTCCGCAAGGTTGCAGAAATCTTTCAAAATATGTTGGAAAAATATCTTGATATGGAAGGAACTGCTTTACAATGTCAAGGAAAAAATTTTCCAAAACTCAACGCAAGTTGCTAATTCGATTTTGCACTATATTATACTAAAATTATTATTTTTTTGATATTCTAATTAAAATGTTTGCAATTTGAGTGAAACCGTGCAGAATTTTTTTAATTTATGTACAATGTTTGATCGAAAATCTGAGATCTACCACATTTTTTTGAAATCTACCACATTTTTTTGAAATCTACCACATTTTTTTCCCGATTCTACCACAAATTTTTTTTGAAGTCCGATCACTAACTGTAAGCTATGCGCTGGTGTTAGTTCATCCCCCGTTTTTAATGTAAGCAGGGCTCGAATCGTAACAGTCGTGAACGAGCAACTCGTCACGTAAAAATTACAAAATCGGATTGTGACAGACGTGAGCGAACTTCTCATATCGTAATTCGGTATTATGACAGGCGTGAACGAGCGAGTGAACGTACTCGTTCGTTCGAACTGTCATTCGATTAATATTTGACTAACGTACGCGCGCAAAATTTGATAAAATTTTTTGAAAAGTGTAAGTAATTATAAAATTTGTGCAAACATATACAAGTTCATAGCTATTTTTCTTATTTTAGGACCAACTACAATAAATTAAACTCTACGCAGAAGGAACTCATGGCGGAGTTCATGGCCGAACACCCTGACTTGGCAAAGAATTTACTCCCAAACTGCTCGCAGGGAAAAGCAACGGCCAACCGTTTGTGGGAAAACCTCACCAAACAATTACATGTGGTGGACCTTTTCAGGAGTCATGGGCTGCACCTCTATATTGACAATTTATGGCAAGAATCTTGCAAGTGTGGTCACAAATCTGGCGAACGGAATATTAGCAATAAAATGTTAAAATGAAAGAAGAGAAACTTACTAGTATAACGTTAAGACTATGGTAATATTTCCTGTTGAAGTACATGTGCTCGTCTCTAATTGGCTTTTGTAATCCAATGTGTGTTCCGTCTACGCATCCAACGACCAAAAGGAAAAACATTGGATTCACTACGCATTTCATTAGAACGCCCCTTCCTACCTCCAGGTATTTTATATTTTTCCGCAAACCGCTCCTTACGTCTTGAAGATTCGTTGGGCTGGAACTTTATAAATTCCGGACACAATTTGCTTTCTATTTCTTTTAAGACGTTGGACGTCAATTTTGATTCCGTGCTCTGGCACATACCTATCAGGTAATCGCTACCAACTGGTTGCTGATAGCTACCACTTGCAAGGAGCGAGAGGCTTGCAGCCAATTGCAAAGCAGCAGGAACGGCTTTTGTGTCATCGCAGTTGATGTTTGTTTTCGATAAAACATACTGGAATGCCTCCTTGATTAACTGAAATCTTTTGATGAATCTGCAAGTATGGGAGTAGAGAAGGTAATTTATTTTCTATGTATAATTACTTACGCGTTGTCGGATAATGCCAATGGATTGCTTCTGCCCCGAAGTTGCTTACGCACAACTCTTTTGTCATTTTCGCTTTCGCTAGAGCTTAAATAAAATAAAAGGCTCGGATCCATTTTAGTTTTGCCGCTTTTCTTTATTTACTTTTCACTTATTTTGACACTTCAATGTCTATTGTGACTTAAAAAAGGAAGAAGAAGAGAAAAATAATCGATAACCAAATAAACAAAAACATTCGTTCGCCTTCGATTGTTATCATCCGATATTGTTCATTCGATTAAACGATCACGTAATTTGTGTTCGTACGATTGCCGACTCGCTCACGTCTGTCACGATTCGACCCCAGGTTTATAGTCACAAAATCACCTTCGTTTGCCAGTCTCTGTTATACACCCGCTTAATAGAGTCCGACCGATTCCAATTTTTTTTCAGGTACCGATGCCGATGCCGATTAATCGGCTTGTGGGGAAAGAATCGGCCGATGCCGATGCCGATTACATAAAAAATTACAAATAAGTGTATTAATTCATAAAATCAGTTCATTTCACGGAGTTAAAAGAAATAAAAAAGGAAAGAAATAATTGAATTAATTGGCTTGTTATGCAACATTACATACACATGTATGTACATACATACATATGTATGTGTAAAAATATATGTACATATGTCACATTTATGTACATTACATAAAACACTTTTTTTATGGTGCTAAGCTAAAAATATTTAGGAACATAAAATTTCATTTCGTTTTGTACTAAAATACACTCTTTTGCAATGCATAAGAACTTATATGCTAGGTATGTATGTACATACATATAGTGGTCCACAAAATAAAAGAATTGCGATATTTTGACCGATTTTGTCTTTTTTATTTAATGTTTGTTATTTTTTTTATAAAAGTCTAGCTGGTATACAACAAACACCATATAAATTCAGATTTCAAACTTTGTACAAAAATTAGAAAAATTCTGCTTATTTTCACTAAAATTTCAAACTTTTTAATCAGAATTTTGGTATGCAGTTTTGTAGACCATTTCATTCTAGTATAATGAAGTGCAAGTCTCAGGCTGCTATAAAATCCCGTTAATTTTTGGTAATTTTTTTTGCTGGCAGTGTTCTCCATATAAAAGAAAATTGTCGCACATACTTTTGAATGGAAAAAACGTGAAACACCTTCAACAAAAAAAAAATCATTTTTGTGAGTTGTCTGCAAATGTTTTTTAATGTTGGCTGTCGCTTCACCTGAACATTAGAAAAGAGATTCCAGAGAATCGGCGAAAAAAGGCCGATGCCGATGCCGATGCTCAATTTTGTGCCGATACTAGCCGATGCCGATGCCGATTAATCGGTCGGACTCTACCGCTTAATGTAATTCACATAAACAAAATAATTGTTTGTGGTGCTTTTAGAGTTGCAGCTGACAAAACAAACCTATTTAAATATATAATAAGATGGAAAATACTAGTTTTCGAAGAAAATAGCATCGGAAAATAACAAATTAATCAGTTGTTCATAAAACTAGGTTTTGGATTTTTAGTACTTTCTTGCATATTTCACTCATTGTGAGTAAGTATTGGGTTACTCTTCAAAATTTGGTTACTGGCAAGTTACTGGATATTTTTTGCTGTTGAATACGAAAACACAACTAATGTTGATTGTGACTGCCGCAAATCTGTAATAAAGAGAAAATCAATTAAAATGCACAAATAATTAAGTAACTTACATATCGTTACTTTAATATAGAAAGGCCCTAACTCATATAGTCGCTGAAATGCAAATATTCAGTAACAATGAAATGCATCATAATCAATCAAAACGGTAATTTAGGATTTTTACTTAGTTACGCCTTTTTGTATTTCAGCGACTATGTGAGATAGGGCTTTTCTATATTAAAGTAACGATATATATGTATGTACGTACCTTAAAACTATTAATGCAAAGGTAACAGCAACGGCAACATAAAATAAAATTTGACCTAATTATAAAATTAGAAAACATATGTATTCATACTTTTAAATTTTTAACGATTATGGCATTTTTTGTCAAAGCCTGTTGTCATAAAATTTGCCATATTTCTTACTCGCTTTAACGCATAAAATTCTTATACATGTAAGCTGGAATTATGCTCTAACAAGTGGTAGGTACGCCCATGACGGAATTGTGCCAGGTGAAGTAATTAGAGCGAGAAGATTTAGACACTGCCTTATATAACGTTTAAAATTTGACTATAGGGCAGCTTCTTATTTTGAGTTAAAAGAAAAAGGATTTCGCTATACAGGCGCCTAATGAAAAAGTTTGTCACCCGTGCGATTTCTTCATGAACCATAACTACGGTGACCATATTAACCAATGTAAAATAAAGGATATAGACATAGTGCAGCGAATTAAAATTCAGCGGAAATTCAGTTGGAAAGACCAGGTGGAGAAGGACTTGGCTTCACTTGGCATTTTCAATTGGCGTCAGTTAGCACAGAAGAGAAATGACTGGCGTGCTGTTTTGGACTCGGCCAAAATCGCTTAGGCGGTTACAGCGCCAAATAAGATAAGCAAAATAAAGGAAATTTTTTTCAAAATTATTTGGGAATACGTACATACAACTTGTACGATAAAAGTACCTTACCCATATCGTAATTTAAATCAAATATTTACCAGTTAATTAACCGATTCCGGAAAATGAAGCCAAATCCTTTTCAAGGACTTCGTCATCCTTTGCTGCCAAAATACATTTACCGAAGTCAGCACACAGAGGTTCAAAATTGGAATTTAATGTTCGTAATTCACCGCAGTCTTCATTTTTCAAAAATTTTTTACTAAAAACCAAAAAAAAAATTATTTTTGTGAACCTTTTTTTATAACATTTCAAACATTTTTTGTAATTTTTTCGTTTTGGGGGACCATAAAATTGTTTTTAACTAGTCTTTGTTATGTAACATTTATTAACTAATGTATTCTCCATTTTCTTCAAAATTGCCACTTTTTCAGCATTTTGCACTAAAAAATTTAATATAATCAAATAAAAATCCACAAATCAGGCTCAACTGGTATCTTGCAAATATTTTAAGCTTTAATAAAAAAAATTATCAAATTAAGTGAAAAAAATGAAGGCTCCAGTGAATTACGAACACTAAATGCCACTTTAGACCACTGTGCAGCAGGGGGTTTATTGTTCTCTTTCAATGGAACTGGAAACTCAGCGTGCAACACGATCCTGTGCACAACTTTTTCTGTGCTTTATATATTGTGCAAAGATTACCTATTAAATAAAAACCCTTAAGTGGTGTGCGAAACAAACTGGCGAAGATTATCATTATATTTTGTAAGGAACATGTTTATTTTTTATATTCTGAAAAATTTACCTCTGAGAAATGCAGAGCTGGTTTAAAGGACAGTTTAAGAAATAAAGGACAAAACGCGTCCTTTATTTTGAAAAAAATTATAAAGGATAACCCCCCTAAAGGACTGTCCTTTGAAATAAAGGACGGATGGTCACCGTAACCATGACACACCAAACATTGTGCCCTCCCTTCCATAACAAACACTTTTACCGTGTCTTGCAGCGACTTGATGGCTTGAAAGTTTCGCATGGATTGAGCACGATCGCAGCAAAACCATAATCGTTGGCATCACACTGATTCATAGACAGGCATGGGCAGAGAGTTAGCAGGTGCTAAAAGATCGTAAGCGTCACGTGTACGTATACAAGCGAGAGCGCAGCGATGAGAACACGACAGCATGCAAAATGAATTAGGCACACTAAACAAGGCGAATTAATATAAGGTGATAGCAGGAGTACAAAAACAAAAATTTACATGTATTTTGTTTTTGCTTTGGCGGCATAAACTGTCAAAATCTGTAAGCGTGTGTGTAGAAATTCAAGCAAAATTTTTCAATTTGATATCAGAAGCCGTGCGGCGAAACACATACAGAAAATCAGCTGAGCTAGTAACACCACCTTATATAAATTCGCCTTGACACTAAAGCTCGTCGGCGATTTCAAGCATCCGTTGTTGGTTACCCCAGCAACGAGTACATGTGTGAGTGTCGGGTGCTTGAAGCTTGCCCGGCGACACTCAAGCATAAAGCGTCAACACCATTTGCAATAAAATTTCGTAGTGGGCGGACATAAACATGTCTTCATCGGATGACGATTTTTTGCTACTTGCCACTAAAATCTTTATCTTCCGCGAACTTGCTCATTTTACATATCACAACAAACTAACACACTAATGCTTGTCAACGCTTTACGCCACTATCAAACAGACCGCTTGTCAAGCGGTCGCGTTGATGGAAAATCAAAAATTTTTGATTTTCCATCAACACGAGCCGACAACAAGTACGTGTGACACGACGATCTCCGATTGCCTCGGTTGCTGGGGTAACCAACAACGGATGCTTGAAATCGCCGACGAGCTTAACACATTCTCAGTTTTAGCTCACGCT